AAGGGTTTTTTGAAAGACAGATAGACTTTGAATATACGAATGAACCATTTCTCCTGAGATTATGTTAGCGGTCAATGAGATTGCATGGAAGAGAGAGAGAGAGAGAGAGAGAGAGAGAGAGGTCTAGTGTGGAGAGTTGAGAGGAGAAGATGTCAAACAAATTTGTAATGCAATGCAAACTATTTATAGATTAGAGTCAAATGCTGTCTAAACACACAAAAAAGACATAGATTTCTATTTAGCGAAACGAGTGAATGTTTAACACAAAAGTAATTACAGGTGTAATCGTCTAATCATTATTTCGTTGACTTATTCGTTGTCTTCTTTTCAGAGTAGAGTTTCGTGTTTTCACTGCTTTTTATTAATTGCCCCAAAAGAGTAGGTATTGTATAAAATGTAAAATACTATCAATAGGGGAGTGGGGTTACCATACCATGCCTTACGTAGTGTTTAACATTACTAACAGTTAGCAAATAAAGTGATAAAAAATTGGAGCACAAAGTTTAATACCAATAATCACAATATAATAGAAAGAGATTAATCTTTATTACCTGGATAAAAATACTGTTATTAAGTGTCAATTTAACGAAAAAACGAAATAAATTTGTACGCAATTCCCAGTGATATATATGACCCATAATTTTGATGGTAATGTTGGCGATACTACTTTGAATATACAACGCAAACAATCGAGTTAAATTATGTGAATCTCTCTCTCTCTCTCTCTCTCTCTCTTTGCTTAAACTTCTGGTATTATGTGTTTTTGGGCGCCGTTTGTACACACACACACACACACACACACACACATTCATTCATACACACACACACACACACACACACACACATTCATACACTCACTCACTCTTTACGGTTTATTTATAAAATGATTTTTTTCATTATTTCTTTTTTGTTACTCTTTTCTTATGTAATTTAGAGACGACTTGAATCTCACAAAAAATGCGAGAAAAGTTTTATATCAGTCAATAAATTCTTTGCTCACAAAAGCTCTCTATAAGAGTATATAATATAATAACTTTTACATTGATTTTTAATTTAATGTTTTTTCTTATACTTTTACTTTTTTTGATAGAAAAATTCCACAAATATTTTGTGTTATATATGTATAAAAGTCTACTTAACGGTTAGATTTTCTTATGACACCAAATGTGAGACTCGATAACACAATAATCAAATCAATTGCTTTTAAACTTTAAGATCAAATCAATTATAATTTTCAATTTAACAAAACTGACATTTTATGGATTAAGATGTTTCTGAATTTATTTTATATATTTTCTTTAAGCGTAATGCTATATTAAAAAGTTTTATTTACTTAATTTAGGCGTCTATTTTAGTGCCCATATGTAGGCGTTATATAAAATATTATGATTTAACAAATTTCAATCAATTCAAATAAGTTATAATCACATAAAGTAATAACCATTTGTTAGAAAATATTTTCTGTTTTAAATTTCAAAATAATGTCAAAAGACCGAAAAGAGTTGATAAAAATTTATTATAAATTTATTGAGAGAAACACATTGAATTGATAGTTGTCTCTTGACTTTAAACTAATAAATTTTTGTTATATTTTATGTATTCATTTCTCGCATAGAAATGCAGTTTTCTTTTTATTTTCACTTATTTTTATTGACGAAAAATATAATGTATTTCTTGCGCAACAAAAGCGTAGAGAGAGTATGAGAATTGAAAGTTTGTAGAAAATAGACAATCAGTTGAGAGAGAGAGAGAGAGAGAGTTATAATGGATTAAATTAAAATTCAAAGCGTCACTACTTTTGCCTATTTTCAAAAAGACATGCCTTTCGGGAATGTGCTCTTTCGGGGGGCAAATGAACTCATTGAACGCATTACACATTGTATACAAAAATGTATTATATTTATGCGAATATTTCTGTAAACATATAGATATTCAGTTATTGTGATTAGTTTAATCAAGGAGAAAAACGTTGGCATTACAATTGTTTAATGTATCATTTTGAGCCCTCACTCCCCATTCAGGTGCCCCTGGGATACAAACGGCGCCCAAAAACACATAATACCAGAAGTTTAAGCAAAGAGAGAGAAGTGAAAAAAGTTATGTCAAAAAACAGTCAATGATTTATGGCTTAAATAAACATAAGTTTTGAGTATATTTTCGTATTTTTTGTTTGAATATAATTTTTTGTCTATAAAGACAGTGGTGTGAATCTCTCTCTCTCTCTCGCATTTAGCATTTATCTCGTACTGGATCTCTTATATTTATATTTTTATATTTACTTCTATTTTTATATCCGCACAAAAAATATTTTATGTACTTAACGGCCTTTTAGAAGATTTCTCGCAGAAGTCAATGATATAAATGAATATAACTGTTAGTTAGCAAACATTTAATGATAATTATAACTATCAATGTTTGCTCTCTCTCTCTCTCTCTCTCTCTCTCTCGCATTTAGCATTTATCTCGTACTGGATCTCATATATTTATATTTTTATATTTACTTCTATTTTTATATCCGCACAAAAAATATTTTATGTACTTTTTTGTGTGGGTTATAAACTCAGTCTCATCAATATTTTCCCTTAAATACTGTATTGAATTTAAAGTCATATTTCTGTGTTGAATATACAGAAGATATTTGAAGTCCTAAAAAATAATTTTCTATCAAGAAAAGTTTAATTTTATACAGTATGTAATGACGTTAATATTTCTCTCATAAAAAATTGTTTAAAATTTATATCCAGAGCTTAAAATCTCTTGAATTTAAAGTGAAATATCAAAAAAGAAATAAGAAATCAAAATCTAAGCGTATTTTAGATATTTTGGTGTTTTGAATAAATGATTAATAAATTAAATCAAAACTTTTACACTGAAAGTTTTTAAATTAGATTTTATAACTAAAATACTGATTTATCTATATTTATATACTATATACTGGTATATGTTTTCTATACTAGTATACAAAGTACTTTTCAGGCGCAAACTTATTATAAAAATTAATTAATTACTGCTAAACTAAATGTCATGTAATACTTAGTGATGAAAGGCTTGAACACATTATTATTATATAATTTGCAATCAATTTAATACGAAATAAATTTATATTTTACAAGAGAATGGAGTTTACCATAAAATATTCAAATTTATTCACAAACAATACCGCAGATTATCGGGAAACGCAAATTTCAAATCTCTTTTTTGGGCTAAAAAACTCAATTTTATTAGTAAGTCATCCACTGATTCGGTGATTCAATGCATTCCGTATGCGGTGTTGAAAATGCAGTGCAAAACACATGACAATATTTTTCTCTCCACTCGTCTCGAAAGCCAAAAAGTTTTTGAGAAATAAACGATTCATTTATTATATTAAATATTTGAATGAATGAAGACATTTTTGTTATGGAAATCGATTTATAAGAATAGGCAAAATTGCTTATATATTATATATACGTATATATAATAATATAAAGAGCTCATGAAAATTGCTTTTATTTTTCATTCACCAGTCGGTAAAATAAATGATAGCGTGAAATATGATTAAGTCTATCCAATACACCATAATATACTGTGTTGTTAAGGCGTTCATTAAATACTATACAGACTATGAGTATTAAGTTTTCTCTTTTGATCTTATATTTCCAGAGTTTTATAACTCCTTATCTATTATTTAAAAATAAAGCAAATTTCCAAACTCTTACTCCTTAGTACCAATAAAACTATTTTCCTGCCTTTTAATTGCTTTGTTAGGGAGAGAGAGAGAGAGAGAGAGAGAGAGAGCAAACATTGATAGTTATAATTATCATTAAATGTTTGCTAACTAACAGTTATATTCATTTATATCATTGACTTCTGCGAGAAATCTTCTAAAAGGCCGTAGAATCTTATTTATTTAATTACACGAATATTTGTGCCCTCACTTTCTTTGACACAAATCTTTAGGATATATTTTAATTTCATTCCTAATGTCATTCATTAGAGTTTGACTTTTAATAAAATAAGACTAAATTCTGACACCAATTGTCAGCTAAAGAAAAGAAAAGATAGTCAAATAAAAAGGCTTTCAGAACATATAAAAATTTAATTTTAAGCAAAGTTATTTGACTAACTTCACTGTACATTTGAATGCTAATAAAATAGGTATATACACAGTGTAACCCTAATTCTAAAATGGAAACCCATTGAATTCAGTTGTCTTACTTAATAATCAGACATTTTTAAATATTTACTTTAAAAATCACCAAGGCAATTAGAAATTTTTGACCAAGATTCTACTTTATAAGCACTATATATGCTCGTTTATTTACACTTTAGTTAGTATAAAAATCTTTACTGCAATAAGATTTATAATTGTTTAAAATATTGTAATAAAACTTGAATACTTTTTAAAAGCTTTAATTCTCTCCCCCATAATCCACTAAGTGATCATCTATTATCTAAAAATAAAGAACATTTAGTAGGCTTTTAATCCCAATACTATTTATTTTTCTACCATTACCTAAATTGTTTAAAAGTGAAATATAATAAGTTATAGTTATATTCTAGAATTAAAGTGTACAAGGTGTACTGTATTTTCTAAAATTGTATTAATATATTAGAGCACATGGATTTAAGTGGACAGAATATACTTTATACTTTAAGTGAAAAAATATACTACTTTGGAGAATTTAATTCAATTTAATTTAATTTAATTTATTGGCTTAGATAGTTTTATGAGAAATTTTTAATGAATTGAGAATTTAAAATATTATTTGATAGACATTTCCATTCGCATCAAAACATTAAATGTTAGTAAAACATATACCCTAGATAACTCTATAGGATATCAATTATTCATATGATTTGGGTTGTAGTCGCCTTTATTTATAAAACAAGTACCTATTCTGACGAGTGGCCAGGGATGGGCACCGGAGCAAATCAAGTTTTCACGAGTGGAATTAAATTTAAAAATAACAAAAATCAAATTTATTTCTACCGGTATATAAATATGAGTGGAGTTTGATATGATCTCGACTAGTAATACACAGTAAAACATATTATTGAAACCTATTTCTGTGATCCTTTAATCATATCTTATATTTTTCTTTAAATAAATTTCACATAATTCTCTGTTTTTTAAACCGATTTCCAAACAAACATATTTATTGGATTACTTTAAGAGAAATATCACTTTAATAATGTAATGTATGGCTCATACGGAACCGCATTTCTAATGTATTTTTCAATTCAACTTTCAAAATAGGAATTAAATATTAAAGACTATATTCTGTTGGATAACTTCGATGGCATCGACGGCAACGGAAAACGTTATAATAAATGGTTTTGAATAAAATTGTCGGCAATTCTCGGCTAAACATATGATGAATTGCCTTAAAAAACTTCATATTAAATGCAATCCATTCATTAAAATACAATACATTTTATTAATCTTAGAGCTGGACTTTATTAAAGGTGAGGACAAACTATCATATTATATTATACATATCTATGATATATCTGTAATCGATTGTATATTATATTTATATATACAGTGTATTTGTAATAATTATTTATTGAATCATATACTTCACAAATATTTTGTCAAACAATAGCCGTTAGTTATATAATATATATGGATATGAATTATATTATATGTATAGTACAGTACATTTGACTCTCTAGTGACCCAATAGTTAAAGTAATTGAAACGAGGATTTCGCAATACATTGTATTTATGAAATAATTTAGATAATGCTTTATATTATTTATAAACACATACTGTTGTTAGCGATTAAACATTTTATAAATTAGTGAATAGAAAGGCAGGGAATACCCCTAAAATCCCTTTTACTGTATATATTGTATAACTGATATATTGTACTCTAGCCGTACGATATTATGTTATAATATTTATTTATTACCATAATTACATTAGTAAATAAATAAAAGCCCACCACTAATATGAATGCTATAATCATAATATAATGGCATTTGTAATCTAAAAATGTACTCATATTTGATTTTAGCTATTTTTACTCCATTGTAGTGTTTGGTGTTTAGTTAATGTAATTTTCACATTCAAATTCATATTCAAATCGCAACCATATATCGTGATAATCATATTTATTCAATTTAATTATAATAAAATAATTTTGTAGTATATTTTTTGCTTTCATGTATAAAATTGTATATAAATTCTCATTAATTTATGAAATGTTTCGCTTTCATCCCAATCCACTCCCAACTCTCTACTACACAGTCATGTCTACAGTGAACTCCAATATTAATTTACAGGCAGAGCATACCAGTGAGTATAGCATGGCTTATGGCAAATGAAATTTTTCAATTAAATATTGTATTCATATATAATTAACTCATATTATGATAAACAATCACAAAACCGAAAACAGATTTATTTGACTTTAATTCCTATATAGTACACCTATCAAAACATATTTTATACAGTATAGAACAGTATATATTTCTAATACACATTTATTGTTATTTTTGTGAAGTTATACATTAAATATAAAATATACATTAAAACATATCAATTTTGCAACAGTTCTGCATAAAAACAAATTGAAAACTGAATAATAAATGATTTGATAGGAAAAACAAAAGCAAAACATAAAACATTTACAATAATTTTTACGATGTTATTATTTTTGAATTGATTTAAATATTCATTGACGGCAACCATATCCACCCTCACCCTAACCCCTAAACAGCATTCCCCGAACAACAAGTAGTGTTGGGCTCAAGTGTGTCGCTGCCGTGCGAGATAACGGCGCCGGGAATGAGCACCGATTCTGTGACCTTAATTCTCTGGTATAGAGGCGACGACATATCCGGTGCACCCATTTATAGCATAGACGCCAGGAGTAGGAATACACCCCTGGAAAGTGCCAAACATTTCATTGCCGACGATTACGAGGGGAGAGCCAACTTCGATATCACTGTCCGTCCGGCGCTCCTCAAACTCAGTCCAATCGTGGACACCGACAGTGGACTGTATTGGTGTCGCGTTGACTTCCGGTGGACCCGAACCACAATCAGCACCGTTTTGCTCAGCGTTGTCGGTATGTGTCGGTCCACACCATCGCGCCATATATTCACCACAATATCGCCCATACATGACACCCACTAAACAAACACTTTTTAGTCTAAATTGCGCTCATATTCCTTCATCACTTTTTTTTGTTATATTAATATTTATTTTACAATTCATAACATCTCAACAGTTTTGTGTCGACTAAACTGTCAAATATATTGTGAATTGAAATTTTGTTCAGAAATTTTTGCTAAAAATTTGTGTTAAGGGAAAAACTTTTTCGCTTTTCTATAGTTATATTCAGTGATACAAAACCAGACGTGACTTAAATATGAAAGGAAAAGATTTTACTGTGAAATTCGACTCTTATTTTGCCATACATTTTGATATTTATTCAGATATATATTGAAATGCAGTTATATAAAGTAAACAGTATTTTTCCATCTCTTTCTTAACTTTTATTTTATATTATGTTTTATATAATATTATTTGAAACAATTTTAGGCTCAAATTTTTTACTCAGTCTCTCTCTCTCTCTCTCTCTCTCTCTCTCTCTCTCTCTGAGTCTTTGTACGATACGAATAGAGAGAGAATTTGATTTTGATTTACACTTCATTTCTATGTTTTTTCTTAGTATTGATTTGTTAGTAGTTTTAACGGAAATCTAAGGCCACAAATCTCTACTAATCTTTTAGTCATTTGTTTTTATCCAATAGAGAGACTGAGTCTGTGTTTCGTAACAATAAATAAAAGTGTTATTTGTTTTGTTTCTTATTTTAAATTTTCTTCGCAACCATTCTCTCAATACTTTTTTCAATAGATTTTTATTACATGTTTAGTACACAAGCATTAAAAACATATTTAAGTTCTGTTTTTATTTCTTATATTCAATTTTGAATTGTTGTTAACTTTCATATTATTAGTCGTTAGAGAGTGTGGTGTTGAGGGACAGACTGTTCATTCAATTACTGAACAGCTATTATACGAAAGTCTCTCAAATTGATATTAAGAACATTACAATAGATTTCTGTTTTAAAATAATCTATAAATTAAATAAAAATTGTAAATTCCACACAACTTTAACATTTAGGATGCAATCAAATGGTGTTTTCATATTACAATCAAAGACTAAAACACTTTTGGGAAAACTTTGCTAATATTAGTGTGAAATCAGATATAAAACCATATTTTCTCATTATATTCATACCTACTGTGCCCGGTATCATATATAATACACATATAACATACAAAAGCAATTTTATTTCGAGAGAGAGAGAGAGAGAGGTGTTATTAGCTTACATTATGTGTGCAAATGTGTGTGGATAGCGATTGTGTAATACTTTTTGCTTATGTCTCGGTGTCTCTCACTTTAGTACCTCCCAAAAGAGTGATTATAAGGGATGCGACCGGAATTGAACTCAAAAGTATAGCCGTGTTTGACGAGGGATCTGATGTACGACTTTTCTGCGAATCGATCGCTGGTATGATTTCTTTCCCCTATTTTTTAACACCAAATACTACGGTATATAACATACGGACTATAGATACAGACAATAGTCTAATATTATAAGTATTTTGTTATACACTTTTGTTTTACCATAAAAAATAGTTTTATCGTCTGTTAACTTAAAGCCATTTTTCAGTTCACTTTCTCCCACTAAACACATATAGAGTACGACTTCAGACATTGTATATTCAGTACACTATTATATCTTTTGTATAAATCAGTGATCAATCATTAAAAAACTTTTTATGTGATTTATTTTTCTTATCATTAATTTTATCAAATACCACTGCATTATATTTATGATACAAATATTCGGTATATGTTTATTAAAATGCGAAATAGATTTCAATTTTATTAATTAAATGTAATTCTCAGATGAGATGAATGCCATAAATATGAAAAATAGAATTTCTATTAATTTTATAAATGACTTAATACTGATATAACGATAAAATATAACATTTTTGGAAATTAATAATTCTGTGCAAAGAGATATTGCGGTTATAAATGGATATATTTTTAGACTACATTTTTCGCTGTTTTGTAATTCAAGACTAAATCTAATATTACATATATCACGGATGTTTATAATATTTTTGATAATTAATATTTGAATATAAGGCAAGAATTTAATTGATTCTTCAAATTAAATATAATTTTTCCGTTCATTAATTTAGTTGAAAATTTCTAGGATTTTATTTAATTATAAATAAACACAAATAAAAACTACAACATTTATGTATTCCTTTGAAAATATTATATATCTCTTAACTTTATACGATAGGCGCTCATTGGGAAAATTATCGATAGTCCATATTATAACCTTTAGCACGTAGTATATTATTGAAATGAACAGGTATCGATATTAATATCGACTATCCCAATGAACGCCTATCGTATAAAGTTAAGAGATATATTAAATTATTCTTTAAAATTTGTGCTCCAATTTTGCGAATATATAAACATTAATATATTCACAAAATTAGCTTAATAAAATATACAAAAGCGAGAGGACCACAAGTGGTCTTTTAGTTAAATAATTTTTCTAATTTTTATTTTGCTTATAAATTATATTGCGAATAATAATGTATTGTTTCAAGTGTTATTTGATATTAAAATTCTGCTTAATAATAATAATAATAATAATAGTTTATTTAGTAGTTATATTGAATGGAAAATAAACTTTTATAATCCATTTTGCATAGTTTAGCATCAAACTTTTCATTCATTAATTCTAAATTTATAAAACAATTTAAGTGTAAATATTTTATTATTGTTTTAATCATCAAATTATGTATCGTATTGTATAAGCTATTTTCCAAATGCCTTTTAGACGTCTATTTTTATTTTGTTATGAATTTATTATTAGAGCCAATGTTTTAACACAATTTTCATAGAAGTAATGCAAGAATATTCTGTTCACTCATATTATGCTAAACATAAAGTTATTCTTAAAGAACATAACCCGCAGCTATCGTAATATACAGGGTATAGCACACAGTGTATAGGGTTTATGCATTAGAGGCATGTCTTGCCTTTTGCTCGTGTATTAAAAAGTTAGGTATAGCCAGGACAGGGCTAATCGAATATTCAATTTTTCTATCAAATAGTGTTCATGTTATTTGAAAATGTCCTTCAATTTCGTAAATCTATTTGCAGACAAACCTATAATTAGGTTCGTGACAGTCATAGCATACAATAAACCAATAATTCTGTAAAAATGTGATTTTCTTTATACGCTTTCATATATTTCATGTCATATATGGCATATACTTTTTTATGCAATCAATTCCGCAAAACATGTTTATTTGTGTATTAATGTTTGGCGACCCCTGCCAAGGCTCCATATACATGTATAAAAAACTAAGCCCTAAGTACTGGTGTTGTAGTGAATGAAATGCATTAAAATTGGCTGAAGATATGGCTATATTTCCCTTCCATTCACATATCAACTCAACTAATAGATCAATGCCTGAGAGACTCCAATCGTGAGATACTCTGACGTCTCGTTCGCCTCTTTTTATACACATATATATTGAGATTTAATATTTGATTGCGTTTATTATAAAACACACAAATGTCTCCCCAAAACTCAACTCAACCTCCCGTTCCCATTCTCTCTCTCCTCTCTACCATCCCATCCCTCTTATTCTTAGCCCTCTTTCTTTCACTCAAATCAAAACTAAGCCTTTGAAAGTTACAAAACTAGCTAATAAGTCTATATTTAAAAACTAACACACGATATTGAGTTTTAAGTTACTGAAAGAGGAAAACACATAATAAACGAATTTATAAATATTTAGAGATGAAAGCATTATATATCGGAGAATTAAATTCAATCGCTTTTCTCTAATCGACTCGATTTTTAAAGCATATAATCATTAGATGTTTTGATTCACTAAAAGTAGATTATTTGATATTTTTATAATTTGTTATCGATTTTTATATTAAGGTATTTCGAAATTCTGAGAATTACATTTATTTATAAAACAAAATTTGAGATTAAAGTTTATATTTAGTGTTTTTTGGTGACATTTAATGTTGAAAAACAAACAAAATAAGAAATGTTGTATAAGAATATATTTAGTTTTTTATACCAGAATTGCAAAACACTTTTTGAATGAAGATTAAACACAAAGAACAGTCTGTTTTTGCACTCTTGTGTTTAAACAGATTTCTAATGCATTAAAACACTATTAGATTTCGGTTCACAGAATGGAGAGAGAGAGAGAGAGAGAGAGAGAGAGAGAGAGAGATTCATAAATATTTAATCACTATTTCATTAATTAATTAATTATTCAAAATAAGTCGATTGGTGAAGGAGTGAAATGTGAGTGAAAAATGGCTGCAATTAAGC